GCGTGATTTTGTAGATAAGGCAAGACCAAAATACCCCTTCCATCTACTTATGTTCCATTTAATTCACATTATTTTATTGTTTCAATAAGTCCTATGGGTGACATAATTACCAAAATACCCCTAATGGAATGTTCACACCGTCAATGTGAATGTTCATATCGTCAATGTGTAGGGGCCTGGTGTCACGACCCAAACCTGGCCCTATGGGTTTAGCACCGTAACCGGCCAGTAATCTGAGATAACCGAAGGCCTGCTTAACAGTAATACAGTAAAACAGAGTACAGGGCCTAGCGAAACCAAAACAATAAATAAACAATGTCCAATGAGCTGTGACAGACTGTATGCAAAAAGACTTTTCATACAATATATATATATACATTCAGTACAGGAAAGTATACACAATATATACAATCATTCAGAATAGGGAACTCAATCCTTATATAACAGTACAGTACAGTGCTATCAGTCTATACAGTTTACAAAACAGGTACAGAGACAGAATGGGGAATAAAAGACCCCTAAGCCATAGCATGGCAGGCTTGGAACCTCGCAGTGAGGCACAGTAGTTGGCTTGACAAAACTGGAGTTTACCCCCGACGCTTCTAGCTGCGTTCTGGTGCCTGTACACCTACATATATATATGAGCAGTGAGCTAAAGCCCAGTGAATAACACAGTGCGTAAAGGGGTTAAGAATGAATGTCCTTACAGTAATGAAAACAGTTCATTGATTCAGTATATCAATCATTCAGTCATATGTGGTACATCTCTTAGCATAGCAGTACAGTAAATAGTAGGTCTTAAAAGACCGAACAGTAAATGATGGCCATCAGTCAGTAAATAGTAGTGGTTCCAACGAGGGAACCAACAGAGATCTCTATAACAGTAACAGTCATAACAGTAGGTGCTAAGGATGCCATAATACAGTTCAGAATATAGGACATACATTCAATCAGTTAACAGTAATCAGTTCAGAAAGCAGTACAGTTCAATTGTTCAGAAGATAATCATTTTTGAACATATCTT